AACGGCAACCCTGATTGGAAATGCCAATTGAAGCCATGGGCGATGAGCGCGGATGCTTCCATTACATTCGGTGGAATGAGTTTTAAATGGAAGGGTTGGGTTGGTAGAATGTTCAATTTGGAGCTAAAGAATTCTCTTCAATGTTTCGAGTGTAAGTGATAAAAGCCTTTTTGGCCTTAAGTTACTTAATATAGTTTAAAATTTCCTATTTTCCTCTAGTATAATTAACGCCTTAACGTCGCTACAACTTCCTTTTTTGTTGCGGGTTGGAATTTCCACCAAATCCGAACCTTAGTATTCAACCTATTCGTTTTAATACTCAGGCCACGTTTTGTATATAAATGAATCGTTTAATTGGCTAGCTCCTATATCTCTGAGAGCTCTCCTGTTAGGTCAACAAATAAACTTTAAAGAAGAGTACAAATTTCTAAGTGGTCTCACTGATTTCCAGAGATGAATAAATTTAAAAGGAGGTACATTATTTTCGATTTAAGACCTCTTTAGATAATTTTCGTAGTTTTATTAGCTTAAAAGCTGCGAAAATATTCATACTTGATTTAAAATATGCGAACTGTTTCCAAGTTTACCTACAACCAATTCATTTTTCATTAGCGTTACTCCCATAACATAACATAAAAGCCAATTTCCACTCACCTTTGCAAATGTCCCTCGACGCCTGGCGGCAAACTACCATCGGACACAATGTAAACAGGCTGACCGCCTGCGCCTCCTGCGCCAGCATACTGCAATCCACCTTGCACCACTACCTGTCCATCGGCAACCAGGCCACTCAAATCACTACCCGAGTAAATTTCTAGACCCTTCTGATCACTTGTAGTCGTATAGATAACCGTTTTATTGCCATCATTGTAAATCAAATCGATATGCTTGTCTGTTGGATACATATCCGATTCTAGCTTCGTTGTTACAGGCAAATGTGAAAGCTGCTTTCCAGCATCCGGTCCAGTTGTAGTATAGAGTATTTGTTGGCCGCCACCTCCGCTACCCGGCGGCTTCTTCGGGTCATCGTATATATCCACCTCCGCCTTGACAACACTATCCGGCTCATAATGTTGCAACATTGATGCATCCAATGGCGAAGTCTGATAGACTCCATGGTCATTGGCCATTTTCTGTGCCTGATTGAACATCGCTGCAGCGACAGCATTATCGCTAGGCATCAATTTTGTCGGATCGCTAACGATGCGTGTGAGTATGTGTTCGCCAGCCTCATTGCGTGACAGTATGTGATGTTCACCGTTGATAATCTCACGTGAAATAATTTGTTGTTGCTCGCCATTCGGTCCAACTACGCGTATTATCTGATTCTCATCGAATTCGATCTTGGCCAAGGGCTGATTTTCTGTGGCGGCGGCCGCTGCAGCAGCAGCTGCAACAGCTGCTTGCTGTTCATTCAATTGGGCAACCATGCGCGCATCAATCACATGCTCATCACTGGTCACCGTCGCACCACCTGAGCCCACTGTGGGCAACACCACCTTCGGACTTTCGTAGATGAAAACTGCATCCTTGTCGTAGAGTTTTGAGGAGTCTGTGTGCAGATCGAGTACGTTTACGTTCGTCATGGTGGCCAACTCGGGCTGTGGACTATCCGGTGAGCGATGCATGAGGGACAAACCGTTGGCGCCAGCGGCAGCAGCAGCAGCTGCAGCTGAAGAGGTGGTGGTTACAACGTTAGTGACAGATACACCACCAGACGCGAGTGAGACGCGTGTTGGGGAATTGTGCGTTTGTAGCTGTTGTTGTTGTTGTTGTTGTTGCTGTTGCTGTTGCTGTTGATGTTGCTGTTGTTGCTGTTGCTGTTGCTGTAGATGCTGCTGTTGATGAAGCTGCTGCTGCTGCTGCTGTTGTTGTTGTTGTTGGAGCTGTTGCTGCTGCTGTTGTTGTTGTTGTTGTATGGCAAGTTCGTTTGAGGTGATGACACTAGTGGTGGCGGGCGATGCGGACATCTTATGCTTCTTATGCTTAAGCTCCAGTTTGAGGCACGCGTAGTGGTATAATTTTTGAGCGAAGCTTTCACGCAGCTTTTTATACTCGTTTTGAACGTTGCAAGAGCTTTCGAGCGCAATGACAAGCTTTCACGTGTGCCACGTCGTTGGTAAGAGCTTTCATGTACGTTTAAGCCTTCAAATGATTTCAATGCTGCTAAGCTACGCTTCGCTGATCCTTTTTTACGTTCTATGGCTTTCTAAGTTAATATGTTTTCCCCTTTACTTCTTGTATTTAGTGCTACTTTAAACTTACTGCTTACTGCTTGTCTGTTTCGTTTAACTTTTGGAAGCTCTTTTCTTGACTATGTCCTATATCCTTAATTACTAATTTCTTAAAGTTATATGCGTTGCTTGTTGTTTAAAACTTTTTTGATTTTGTTTTTACTTTTGTAAACGGCACTTAGAATCTCAGTATATGTGGACGGAATTCGTTGCGTTGCGTTACTTTGCGTTACGTTTTAACGGCTTTTCTTTGTTTGTGTATGGCACTTATGGTATTTCGCTTTATTTAGAGCGCATTAGCGGCAGCTGTTGGGGGCAATTGCGGCAATAAGAACGGCTTGGTGTAAAATTTGTTAGCAGAAAATGATGCTACAGCCTGAAAGAGAAATAAGAGGGAATTAAATTCAATGTTTACAAAAGTGAAGTTTTAAAATCAAATATTAGATTATATAAACCTATAATTTAAATTCTATAAACAATAATTTATTTGAATTTTTTTTTTAAGGAATTGACTGATAAATTAGCCCATTTTCAGTATCCTAGCAAAAATCTAAAAAGTTTTTGGCAACTGAAATTGTTTTAGGGCTATGTTTTTCGATATCTAGGTATAAGATACATACCAAAATGTCTACCCAGCAAGCCTTAAAAACTTTGTGATAATATTCGAGCGATAGTAAGAAACATTATTTAGTAGGGTTGCCTCCTATGCATTAAAATAAATGCATAAAATTGACATGAAAATTTAGATTATATCACCAAATGAAATTTATTAAGATAATTTTCCAGCCAAATACATTTTTCTACTGAGCTGCCACTTATCTTAAAAAAAATTAAATATTTGTGTGTCATTTCAGGCACATTTTTGGGAAAGTGTTTTCATCTCTCTAAAAAAAAATAAAATATAATTTAGAAAAATATAATTTATTTAAGGTTTTAAATAAATATTTAAATATTTTTCATGAGGGTTGCTACTAGGCTAAAAATATTAAGGGCACAATATTTAACAAAAAGGGTTTCAAAGGAAAGGTATTTAAAGACTACCTTAATACTAAATTGGATTTCCAAGTGAATTTCCATCTATTTGACTATTGAAACTTTATTGCAGACGTACTTTTAAATGAGGGTGCCACCTATTTGTATTACTAAACTCCATTTTTTATACATCAATTAAAGTTGTTTATTTTTTCCGCGCACGGCCAGCTTTGAATATATTTACCCACAATTTTATATTGCTGCATTTATTTAAATTTTTCAAAATTTTAACAGCAACCACGGTGTTTATTGAGTTGCCGAAATTTGTAGAGACACAGAATCTCAATTGGCGAAATTTACCGAGTTAGCGAAATTCATCAAATTATAGCAAAGCATGAAGTTATTTCAACTTATCGAATCATCGATAATTATTGATTTACCGAAATTGGCCGGACTATCGAATCGAGTTTTTTGGATTTGAAAAGTATATCGAGCTGTCGAAATTTTTGAGGATATACACAGAAGTATATCGAGTTTTCACTGTTTATCGGTTTATCAAATTCTATCGAGTTACCAGAGTGTAAAGAGTTATCGAAATTTGTCGGCGGATATTAAAATTTATGTTAAAATTAATCGGGTGAAATTAATAGTTATCTTCAGTTTATCGAGTTATCGATGTATCGGTTTACATTGAGATGTGTAAAGTTTTGGTTTACCGAGATTCATCGAGTCCCCAAAATGCTCATCTATTGGTGGTCCAACTTTGTTTAGTTATCGGATTTTAGTGTTTATGGAAGTCATTGAGTTATCGATATATAAAAACTTATCGACAAATTAAAACGTTTCGAATCAATTCCAGGTCTTGCCGAAGTACTTCAACGGTATAAATTCGGTAGTCACGTTTTAGTTCCGGTAAGTATTTAATATCGTACCTTGTAAGTTAGTCGACATTCTAAGTTTGAAAAAATCGTCAAAGCTCTTCAAACCTAGAAAAACGGTTGAATTTTGACAGTAACAGACACTGGAAGGATAAAAAACATGTATCCCATTCAATTTTAGTGTAGTAAAATGCATGCTTGAAATACCTAGAACTTCCGACTGATTTTTTTTAATTTTTTGTTCATTTTCTTCTATATTAAAAAAAATTGTAGAACATATAGCGTATGGAAGAAAATGACTAAAAGGCTAAAATTTGCTTAAAAATGTTTGTTGTGTGACCGACAACGCGATTGTCAGATGGGACCGTTTGAATAATTTTCCTGGTACAATTTAAAAATTTTATTAATTTAATATAATATAAAAATTTTTTAATTTGTATATGGTAATCGCTTATGGAGGACCGCAGAATAAATGAATTTTATCGCACTTTCATCATAATTATACTTTTTTGTTTTATTCTTTTATTTTTTGTTTATTTTTTTTTTGTTTTTTTTTGTTTTATGTTCGTACACCATCGAGTGCCACCCCGCTGTTAACAATGGCGCTAAAACACAAGTCCAAAACAACTGGAATGTGAAATAAATGAGCTACCGTCGCTTAGTCAAGTAACAGAATACATACAAAGAACTGCTGCTGCTGGCGCACTTGGTGGCCAAATTCTTTTGTATTGGCTCCAGGAGTCTACGCTGATACTGCAAGCACAACAACAAACAAACAAACAAACAAACAAACAAAAACGGAACTCGAAGAAAATAGAGAATAGAAAAAGTTGCACAAAACTAATAGCCACTACCTACGCATTCGTAGCGCACCCAGCGCATGAACGCTTGGACCACAACAGCAGCCACGACAAGCACAAAAACAAAAACAATAATAACAACACATGACAACAAATGAAATACAGCGAAGAAATATAATAATTACCAGCAATCGGTCAGCATGGTGTGGTAGCAGAGAGGGGAGGGCATGGCGATTGCTTGACTCTAGACTACAGACTGGGTGCAAGAATGCCACGAAAAGCTCGTAAATAACAATTGCAAAGTGAACCACCACAACAGCAACAACAACAAAAATAATAGCAGCTGCAAAGGCAGCAAGCACAGCACAGCACCGCGCGGCACAACAACAAAAATGCTAAATAATGACTAGCAACAATGAAAAAGTATCGCTAACAATAGCAGCAAGAAGAACGGCAACAACAACAACGACAACAACAGCTGCTGCTGCTGCTGCTGCAACAAAGTCTTGCATGAGCAACAACAAAAACAACAGCAACCAGCTAACAGTATTGTGGTGCCACGACAAAGCCATGTCGCGCTTGTCGCCTTATTTATGTGCAGCGTGTTAAATGCTGACTACCAACGGCACCAACAACAGCGGGCACCTCCACTACATTCTTGCCAATCTTGAGCTTTTCCATTCGCGTCGCTTGAAAGAATAAAAAAAAACTGTGTCCAGCTTCTCGACAAAGCGAAAATTGCCTGGAGCGTAATAGTCAAATAGGGACACACAGCTACATATGTACATACACATGGGACGAACACAGATAATGGGGTATGTGCCCCAAAATGCAAATATTTTGTTGAGAACCGTTTTAAATGCTGGTGTGCTGTCGTGTCTACAAATAAATAGAACAACAATAACTAAAGGAATAACAATTTATTTACTTGCAATTAGCTGAACTGTTTCGTATTTATGGTGTGCAAAAAATTTTCTTTATTTATTGAAATGTTTTATTTAAATTTTCTTCACTTCTTAATACATAGTTAACTTTAAATTGATACATTTTCAATTCCACTAATCTGAAAATGGTTTACGGGTGTGCCTAAAAGTATGCAACATGAAAGCCATAGCGCAAGATATGCAGTCGACGGACTTTTTCGAGAAGGTAACTCCGCTGGAACTAAATGGGCGCCTTTTAAGCTTTGAGATGAAGGCAAAATTTTTTGGCTTCATTCTCGACAGAAAACTGAGCTGGAAGGAGGACATTCCCTCGCAACTTTACCCTGAGCCTTTCATTTCGGCTACCGGACTCCTGTAGCTTCTTACAAGTTCTCATTTTAATAATGTTTTTTTTTTTGAAGTGAAACTTCTTTAGCGGCGGTTGGTTGGGTGGGAGTAAATTGGCAAATTCAGCGGAAATTGCACACGGAAATGGTGCAACGGAAATGGTTGGGGCTGAAATAAGTACTGCTTGTGTGTATGCATATGGTATGAATTTAACAAAAACGTGCTAATAAAAGGTTAGAGGATAACACTTATAAATAACAATACCAGAATGAAAGTAAAGGTGAGTACGTACATAGACAAAGAAAATTATAAAGGCAAAGGTAAAAATAAAAACAAAAACAAAAACAAAGATGTGTAAAGATAAAGGTAAAAACGAGGACCAAGGTAAATTTAAACACTTTACTTATATATATAAGGGCAAAGATGAAGGGGAATATGTTGGTGAAGAAAATGATAATCATAAAAGTAAAAACAAAGATGAGGATGAAGATACCGATAAAAGTAAAGATGAAGATAGGGGAAGAAAGATTGAAACAAAGGTAATTAAAGGGAACTATTTTGGGATTTTAGAGATATTCGAGATTTATCTATTAAATAATCGATATTTTTATCGGTTTTGTTATCGATATTTATCGATTTTGTTATCGATGTTTACCGATTTTGTTATCGATATTCATCGATTTTGTTATCGATGATTATCGATTTTGTTCTCAATATTTATCGACTTTGTTAGCGATGTTTATCGATTTTGTTATCGATTCTTATCGATTTTGTTATCGATAGTTATTGATTTTGCTGTCAATTTTGTAATCACTATTTATCGATTTTGTTATCGATATTTATCGATTTTTTTATCGATATTAATCGATTTTGTTATCGATTTTTCTACCGTTATTTATCGACATGGTTAGCGATATTTATCGATGTTGTTATTGATATTTTTATTGATTTTCTAATCGATTTAGCTAGAGTATGAAGATAAAAATGAAGAGAATGGAAAAACAGAATAACATGAATGTTATTAAAACGAACAGTGGTAGTGGTAGGGATCTACATTGATAGAAAAAAAGCGAAAAAATATAACCTTAAGCAAAAGCAGATGTGTGTATGTATAGATAGATAAGTAACGTATGTTTCACTTCTACAGTGTGGCCCAGGCGCACTTACTTTTGCTTTCGGCTTAAACTCTGCTTTAATCTGATTGTTGGTATTTTTTTAATGTTTAAGGCTGAATGAGAAAAACTTATTCCCGGACGGACCTGTTTTTAGAACACAATTTTTCTCTGAGTGTACTTCTTATGGCGTCAAAGCTCTTTATATGAAATTCCTCTCAATGTAGTTTCTGTTTCTGTCCTTATAAAAAAATAAAGCGTAAAGTTTTCTTAGATTGTTTTTCCAATTGTCTATTCGTATAACTTCGTTCTCATATGCCCTTGGCTTTAAATGCATACAAAA